CTGCCTGGATACCCATATCCTCCCTTCCTTCCGGTCTGGATGAATGTTTTTTCTTTAACTCCTTGGTGGTCAGGCTTCCATACCGTTCAATTTTCTGTCAGCTCTGGTGGTTTTTTGTTTTTAAATTTGTTGTTGTCCTTTTCTCAGTTGTGCAAGGAGGCACAGTGTGTCTACCTATACCTCCATCTTGGTGGGAAGTCTCTGGAAAGCTTTGACTAAATTTATCTTGCTTTATATTTAAGATGCCTTTTGAAACATACATTCTCTCAGACCCTGCAAATAAGAAGAAATGGCTTATTCAGTGTCACAAATGGTGGGTGTAATATTCCAACCCAATTGTCCTGATTCAGAATGTTCATGCTGCTTTTCTGATTTACTGTTTTCATGGGTCTCCCAGATTAAAATTAGAAGCTCTCAATCTAGAGCTTCTAACTACTCTAGAAAGAGTAATGGGTGAAATCATATTATAGTAAATACCATTAAGAGGACACATTCAGTGTGATCTGTGTTTGAAAGTCAGAAAGGATATATATTATAGCTGTTTTTTTAAATCTAGTAAGTAATATAAACTCTCAACAAAGATAATGCTGACAGAGATATCTTTTGTGATACATACTCATAAGACTGCTACTCTGACACACATCACTAATTTGTATAGCATTTCAGAGAGGAGAGATGCAGTAGAACCTAAATTGGGCTTTGTAATAAAATGTTTCCAGTCTTTTTCTTCACCAATGTCTTTTTGCTTCCCCATCATAAAAACACCAAAGCCAAAATCTCTCCCACTCTGTGTTATTTGGTCTAAGATTACTATTAATGAGCCTCATTCATTCTTTCATTTATTCTTTTTACAAGAAGTTATTTAGTTGCTGTGGGGATTATTATGCTTGAAGAATGCTTTCTGTGGATCCAATTTACTCTCAGTGTATGTACGTATCCATGTACAGACCGATTTATTTATTTATTTCTATTTGTTCCAGTTTTAGAAACAAGATTTATGGTAATTTTAAATCTGCATGGAGTATAGCAAAGTAATATAAGTTAGATGGATATGGAAAACACACCTGCACAGTAAAGATATAAAATGCACTCTAAAGTGAGACTCATGAAGTCCTGTGTACCCTCTCAGGCCTTCCGTGTACATCGTATATGTGTGAAGGCGTGAAGTGTTTCAGCATAAATTAGTTTGTCCTCAGATAATCATCCTGAAAGCAAATACATTTTTGGAATTTTTTTCTATTTTCTGCAATAGTTGACTTGTTCTCAGGCTACCTAAACATAATATTTAATACCATTAACTTACATGGTGATTTTCAACCTTTTTTATCTCAGGACACACAAACTAAGTACTAACATTTTTCAGCACACCTCTTGCGGCACCCCCGTGTACCAAGGCACACTAGTTGAAAATTGCTGAATTATAGTATTAAGGGCTGGCATAAGTCTCAATGAATTTATTATGAGAATATTACATAGTTAAGTTTCAGGTAAATATAGTACCTACTGATAACTTCTGTATCTTTCGTTTTGGGAGTATTTGAGGAAGTGAAACCTACTTACTCAGTTGGAATGGAGGAGTCCCAAGCACTTCCTCTTAGCATTCTCGGAATGTTAATGTGTCGGAGACTAGAAAACGGGGCATTTATTGGTCTTTCTTTTTCATTAACATGTGCTTCTTGATTTTGCGTTAAGTATATGTTGACAGAAACATTATTTTAATTATTGAGGCTCAGTGCTGTTGAGTTATATGCCTGCTAAAGGCATTCTTCTTGTATAGTCAGTCAACCATATAATAGAAACCAGGGCAGAGTTACCAAGGTGGCATTTGAGAATTTATGGTTAAACTTAATTTGCATATGACAGTAGTCAGTTTACGGAGAAAGAGTAATGGGTGAAATCATATTATAGTAAATACCATTAAGAAGACACATTCAGTGTGATCTGTGTTTGAAAGTCAGAAAGGATATATATTATAGCTGTTTTTTAAATCTAGTAATATAAACTCTCAACAAAGATAACACTGACAGAGATATCTTTTGTGATACATACTCATAAGACTGCTACTCTGACACACGTCACTAATTTGTATAGCATTTCAGAGAGGAGAGATGGAGTAGAACCTAAATTGGGCTCTGTAATAGGCTGTTTCCAGTCTTTTTCTTGTACTACCAGGATGCTATTACTGCCTTTTACCTCCTTCTCTTTCCATACTTGGTCTTTTTAGTTACCTTTTGTTAAGAAATACATGGCAATAACTGTAAGACCCCTTAACAAAAAAAAATGCAAATTAACCTTGAAGGTCTAAGAAAAGCATCTGTAGTCAAACAGAGTGGCTCACACATTCTAGGCAGTGCACTCAAAAATAGTGTGGCTGCAGTGGTTTAGATGGAGTGGACTCATCTTTAGTTATGATAGTTGTATTGTAGTTAGAGCTTAAGAGATTTTGTATTTCTGAGATATGCATACATTTACAGATGAGTTTATATAATGTGTACGATGTGCTCTAAGTAGTCCAACAGTGGAGGGAGAAAGTAAATGTACAGAGGAAACAGGATTGAGCATGAATTGATAATTGTCGATGTCGGGTGATAGGAACATTCAAATTTATTAGTCTGGCTAAGAAGTCTGTTACGTGTTTTCCATGTAATGGCTCTAACAGTACTTAATTATCTTTAACTTTATTCGGAACAGTTTTGTTAGATCGTATTGTGGCAGCTGTCATATCAGTGTGCATTTAAAAAATCAAAATAAGTGAATTTCTGTGTAGCTGTTTTAATACTGAAGATGGAGGAAGATACACAATATTTCTGGCATATTATGCTTTATTATTTCAGAAAAGATAAAACACCAACTGAAATACAAAAACAAACAAAAGATTTGTGCAGTGTGTGGAGAAAGTGCTGTGACTGATTGATCGTGTCAAAAGTGGTTTGAGATGTTTGTTGGTACTATTGACATTTTGGCCAAATAATCCTTCTCTGTGGGGCTGTCTAATGAACTGGAAGATGTTTAGCAGCACCCCTGGCCTCTACCCACTAGAAGCCAATAGTGGGAAATAGATGGCATACTCAGTATTTCCAAATCAGTAAGTTAATGGTGAAAATGAAAAATATATCTTTTATATTGTAGAAAAAATGTAACAGACTTTTTGGCCAACCCAGTATTATACTTTCTGCTTTTGTATGTTTAAAATTTTCTGTAGTAGTTTTTTTGTTTTGTTTTGTTTTTTAACGTGTGAATAAAGTCGGCCTCACTGCTTTCCATCCTTCATACAGTAAAGACCCTGGGAACATCAGCTCTTTCACATCTTGCTCTGATGCATTACAACTGTCTTTTTGAAATTACATGGATCACTAAGAAAATTCCATGAGAGGCACACCATATGGATCCCTTTTGACTTTTATAATAAGGGGGATTCACCCAGATGACAACATATATTGAATATGTACTTAAGTTTAATGTTCTTGTTATCAAAAGATAGGAGACTTAGCTTTGCGTTAGAAAATATCAATGTAAGATAGAAGAATTTTCAATTTTACTATCTGTTATTATCTGTAAATATGGACCAAATAATATATAAGTTGCCTTGAAGCCCACCAGACCTGAACATGTGTGGCAGTAAACAGAAAAGGATTTTGTAGTAGCGTGTCTGTATCTTGTCACCACTTGAGTTCAATTATTTTACCATTCCAAGATTCTTACCCAAGTTATTTAACAGTAAATAAATAAGGAATGTTGCAATTTCCTCTCATTAACCAATCCAGAAAGTTTTTCTTTTTCTTTATTTTAACAATATCTGTGGCAGTGTGGATGTTCATTTTGTTAATCTGAGTTACGTTTGGGAAGGGATCTGCCTCAGAGGGGTTGTTAGTAACTGTCCCGTGAGAGGAAAGTGAGCGTGTCGTTCCACTGCTGGTCAGAGCTCCCTGCAGCACAGGTGGTCTCCAGGTTCCCATCATTCCAAGGGGGCGGGGCAGTCTGGAATTAAGTACTGAATGGTTTCTTTAAAGACGTTGCTTCTCTTTGCATCCCTTGTCTCATCTTTAAATGGTTCTAAGTCATCCCATTTCTGCCTTTACATGATTTTTACTGTTTTTTAAATTACACACTACTAAAGTCAGGGTATAATGCAGAAACAAAAATGCAGTGGCGGATATCGGACACCATCTGTGTTTTGTAAGGCAGCACTATCCACAGGGCAGGAAACAGTCTCGCCCTATTTTCCTGTCAGTTATGAATTCTTAGGGCAGTTATATTTAGGAAATGGAATTGGGAAACTATGCACAAAATCTTTAATAATTACCAGAAATAAATTTCTGTTGTCAAAAGTATTTGCACAACAAACCTTTTTGTCGTGTGAAAGGAGACGAGGGATGACACTAACCATCCCACATAGTATGTCCCACATGGGCTGTGTCAAGATGTCAGGCTCTTGGGACAGATGATGGCTTCTGAATATAGAGTTACCTTATGTTTTCCCACTTGCAAATCAAGATTTTAAAAGACCGAGGCAATTAAAATGGCAATATTTAGTCATAGTTTTATGCACAGGATCTTTTCCAGAGTGAATTGTAAAATGGATCGTTCTAATTGTTACTATTATTCTATTTATAATAAATTGTTTTTAAAATGTTTAGTTAGTACCGGTGCCTTTTGGTAAACAGGGACATGATTCAATTTCCAGTTTTCTGCAGGACTGAAGTTTTGATGCATTAATATTCTAAGCAAACATTCAAGAAAATTAGGTTAGGCTCCTTTGCTTTGGCTGAACTTTTTTTAAAGGAAATTTTTTAAAAAGTGAAATTTGATGTACTGAACATTTATCACATATTTTGGCTTTCTGTTCTACTTCGCTGTCTCTTCAAAACAGACCTTTTCCCACTGACTAGCCTAAAAACTCTTTTTTGCAACTTCTTTTTATAGTTACAAGACTTTGGCTCCTCCCAGTACTATTTTATTTGAACAAAGACCAATCAGCACATTTTTTTGTATTTGTTCAGGAGTCAGATGGCCAGGGCTGCCCCTTCTGTCGCTGTGAAATAAAAGGAACAGAGCCCATAATTGTGGACCCGTTTGATCCAAGAGATGAAGGATCCAGGTGCTGCAGCATCATTGACTCCTTTGGAATGCCCATGCTGGACTTGGATGAGGATGACGACCGGGAGGAGTCCTTGATGATGAATCGGTTGGCAAATGTCCGAAAGGTAAAACTAGAAAATGTGGGTTCAGTTAGGGTGGCATGTGGACATGAAAAAGAAACAGTCTTGGCACAAGTGGGGTATGACTGAGTGGGTTTTGGAAAGGAAGATTCAGGCATCAAAAGGAAGGGGAAGGTAGAAGTGATGTGGACACAATGATGCACTCATACACTGTGAAAGAGCTGTGGACCCAAAGTGCACTCTCACTAGCTTTAGACTTCAGAATGGGAGGTGGTGCGAACTTTTGTATGGAGGTATATGTTATCTAAGACTGGCAATAGGAGATTTGTGAAGAAAATCTAAGGAAGAAAGTACTAAAATTGGAAATGATGAAACTGATCAAAAATAGTCTTTGTTGAAGTCTAAAAGAAGTATCCGATAAAGTTATTTTCTTCCCAGGAAAACCAGTCTTCCTTTTGGCTACTAAGAGGTCACATATGATTTAACTTTGTGCATTTACCATAGTCTGTGGTTTGTTTATCCATATTGCCAATTCAGAAAATTGATTTTGTCAGTTCACTGAAAATGGATGCTACTGCCCAGTTGGAATTTCTGTAACCAAGTTCACAAGAGACTAGTCAATGAATCAGAACAGAAATTGAGTAATTTGCAAACCAGACATACAATGATCCAGAGAACTGGGCTCTAGATATCAAGCTATTCTCTGTACAGTAACATACATGAAATTCAGTTTATACTCAGAAACTTTATGCTCTCAAAATGGCAATGAGAGGTATGAAGGGGCCTGCAAATACTGTGTGAGGGTGACCCCCTTCCTCCTGCATCAGGGCAGGCATGGCTAATCAGTCATGGCCCTCATCAAGTCCAGACTTTGCCTACACAGCCCTGTGGAACCTCCACTGCAATTCATCAAGATTTGGCAGGTAACATGAAACCTATTTGCCATCTAGGTGGACTGATGATAATGTGTAAGAGCATCAGACTGTATTTACTATATACATTTATCAGTCTAGTAGGGAAACACTCGGTGAAGAGAACATATGTGGCTATTCAAATATAAATTTAAAATAATTAAAAGGTAATAAAATATAAAAATTTTATTCCTCAGATACACTTGACATATTTTAAATGCTCAATAGCCACTTGTGTTGTGGCTACCATATTAAACTCTACAGATGTAGAACATTGTTCTATAGGTGTTGAAATACATAATGAAGATATATGTAATAGAAGTCTCTCTTATCCTACTATCCAGTAGATACTTCTATAGGACAGAGATTCCTTAGATCACTCCTGCACTGCAGGCTCATATTGGAAGATGTTAAGTCTTAGTACAAAAGATCATTCATTTAAATTTGATAACCTAATGGTCTTTGCTTTATCTGGATATATGGCTGTGATCTAGCACTGGAATCAGCAAATTATGGCCTGTTTTTGTTTGTTTTTCTGTGAGCTAAGAATTGTTCTACATTTTAAATGGTTACATATTTAAATGATTTTGTAAGTACCTACGTATTTCACTGATTTTGCATCTTGGCTTGCAAAGCCTAGAATATTTACCATGTGGACCTTATGAAGAACACTGCAGTCCCTAGGTCTAGGGCACTATAAGCAGGTAGAGAATGGTATTGAATGCACGGGTAATAGGGAATGAGGGAAAAGTGTTTGAAAAAGCATAAAACAGTTCAAGTACTTTAAGTGACTTCGATGGTAATTTTTTTCTAGCTAGCAAAAGGCATTTCAGTATTCTTTACCAGATGGAATTTCTTCTTTCAGTGATTCATGTCAGGGGAGGAGAGTGGGGTGTGAAAAATAATTCTTTCAAGAGTTTTGTATACTTTACTGCTTGGGGGGAAGCAGTATTTGCCCTGTGTGATTTTTTTGGAAAATGTTGCAGTCTTGGCCTGTCTTCCACTGAGTGAAGTAGAAGCTGGAGCTTTTTTAAAAAAATTATTTACTTTAATTGTTGTTCAAGACAGTTTTCTGTCTTTTACTCCCATCCCAGCCCCCTGCCCCCCGCAGTGCTCCACACTTCCCTCCCACTTCCACCCCCCTTAGTTTTTATCCATGTGTCTTTTATACTTGTTCTTGTAAACCCTTCTTCCCCTTTTCCTCTAAAATTCCCTCCCCTCTCCCCTCTGGTCACTGTCAGCCTGTTCTCTATTTCAGTATCTTTGGTTATATTCTGCTTGCTTGTTTGTTTTGTCGTTTAGGTTCCTGTTAAAGGTGAGATCATATGGTATTTGTCTTTCACCGCCTGGCTTATTTCACTCAGCATAATGCTTTCCAGTTCCGTCCATGCTGTTGCAAAGGGTAGGAGCGCCTTCTTTTTTTCTGCTGCATAGAATTGGTTCAGCAGTGTCTCTGGCAAGTGGAAGGAATGACTGGTAGCATAAAATGAGCAGAACGCTGGAAGGTGACTCTGGTGGTTTGTCCTGATCCTTTTACCGCTTTCAAGGCCAGGCATGTTTTGTTCTCCCTAGCCCACCAGTGAGCTTTCTGTCAAGGGAGCTGAGGGTTTTTTATTTTAATCTTCTCTCTAGTTTATGTGAAAAGGAGAATGGTGCTTTCAGATGTTATTGTTCCAAAAGCCCCACTTCAGTGGTGTATTTGGCGGTCAATACTACCATGTAATAAAGCTTTCACCGTAGTCAGTGTTACTTCTGTACGTTCCTATGGCAGTTAGATATTGGAAAAATCTGAAGAACTTGGAATTATTTGTTCTTAAGTTGAGGAATCATTTGAATGAAATGTCTTTATGTGCACTGATCTGCCTCTAGTCAATTAAACAAATTGTTGATTTTATAATACTTCATAAATTGCTGTCACTTAAATGTCTGTAAAATCTCAATTTTAATGTACATATAAGCATCGGTTCTTTCTGAATAACTGGCAAAAATATTGCTATGACAGTATGTTCCTAGAATACTCAATATGTACTTCTACTTCAGTAGTTATACTAAATTATTAGAGGAAAGTCTTCTCTATTAGACTATTAATTCATAAGCCTAGGGTGAGTTTCTTGTCTACCTTTTGTTCCTGGCACCTAAACATACTAAGTGAAATAATGAATGCACACTCATGCTTACATGCTCTTTGGGGACAGTAATCCAATTTTACATTTCTTTTTTCTTTGTTCCAATCTGAAGACTATATATATATATATATATATATATATATATATATATATATATATATATACACACACACACAATATATCAAATTATAGATTTTATTCAGTTCTGTCTTGTAGCTGAGTTTATAAATAACTATTGCATGGTCATTTTGACATAGTAGCTGTTCTGGAATTTTCCTCCTCTAGGGTTCTTTTTTAAAAAATTGATTTGAGAGAGAGAGAGAGGGAGAGAGAGAAACGGGTTTCACTGCGTTCGTTAGTTGACTCTTGTATGTTCCCTGGTGGGAGCTCAAAACCCATAACCTCTGTGTAATTAGATGACACTCTAACCAGCTGAGCTACTTGGCCAGGGCACCTCCTTTATGTTTTTTAAATCATTCTTTTGCCTTACTCACTTATTTTTTTATTTTTCACCCTTTTTATTGTACTTTTTTCCATTACCATTTAGTCCCTTTATATCCCCCTACCCCACCCCGTAATCACTACACTGTTGTTCATGTCAGTGAGTCGTTTTTCCTTTTTGCTCAATCCCTCTACATCCTACCCTCCCTCCCTTAGCTGTCTGTCGTCCTGTTATATCTGAATCCGTCTCTCAGTGCTTGTTTAGTTTAGTTTAATCATTCATTTTAAAATCATTTCATTTTCTCATCTCCAAGAGTGACTATCAGTCATTGTCCAGGAGAATGATTTCAATTTTTTATCTGCTTTTTAAAATACTCATCTTTCTCCTCTTTAATGAGCAGGTTGATGACTATATTGTGGAATCTTTCTACCTATCTTATACATATTTTCTTCTTTAAATTAGTAATGCTTCCATCGTATCATACATGACTGAGTTCTTTATATATTCCTGTTACCATGGTGACATCCCACAACTGGAGTTTATAAATAGTAGCATACTAAACATTATACTTTATTATTATAAGTTATTATAATAAGGTATTATAAGACTTATTATAAGGTATATTTAATAACGCTAATCTTACAGAAGGAAATGGAACCTACAAATTATAATATAGTATATATTTGTCACCTTTCTTGATATAGACTATTTTATAATTTTACCTAGAAGATGTTTTAGATTTTGCTTAAAATTGTACTATAGCCTATGTCCTTGATCTGTCAGAATTTCTACGATGATTGGATCTGATGTGAGTCCTCAAAGGAATTGCAGGGTATGATTGGTAGGATCTCATCCTTCTCTCTGACTTCAGTGAGATCAAAGCTTAGAAAAGGTGTCTGTTGCTAGTCAGAATTTTGTTTCATTTTGCCAGAGGTGTAAAGAGCCATTCACCAAGTACATAAAATTACAAGCAAAAAAATAAAGATTTGCATACAAAATAAATATGTTGACAGACTGGCCTGGTATATGAACCCAGATTAATTTATTTTCTTTGTTAAACTTTTTATTTATTTTTTTTAAAGTACATAAAATGTAAATGAATTGCCATATAAGAACAAAAACTGCTATGGCTATAGGTCAAGGGAATTTTTTTATTTTTTATACATTCTTCTGATGTTGTCACCAAGTAAAATACATACTACTTTTTAAAAATTTAACGTATCATATAATTCTTGCTTTTCTTTTCTTTTTTAATATTTTATTTATTTATCTTTAGAGGGGAAGGGAAGGAGAGAGGGACAGAAACATTAATGTATGGTTGCCTTTTGTGTGTCCCCTGCTGGGAACTGGCCTGCAGGGAACCAGCCTGCAACCCAGGCATGTGCCCTGACTGGGAATCAAACCTCGATTGTCTGGTTCGCAGGCCCGTGCTCAATCCACTGAGCTACACCAGCCAGGGCCTTGCTTTTCTTACTAAGTGTCAAAAAAGGATCCATAGTATTTCTAATCTTGAGGAAAGAGTTTGTGTGTACAGATCAGTGTCTTTGAAGTGTTTTTAGAAGAGTT